ATGTGTCAACCATAGGATGCAATCTACTTAAAGATTGAGAAGTCAAGGTCAAGGTAGCCCAGCCCCCTTGCTGCTGCCAACCCTGCAGACAGGCCAGGTCTTAGCAGACACTTCTAGAGCAGTGGCAGTGTCCACCTCGTGCCCCTCTCTTGCACACCACACCCTGAGATGGTCAGAAGCTCCCACACCCTGCAGGGAGAGCAGGTACAGGGGGAATGCCAGGCAGGATCAAACTGGCCTCAAACCTGCTGCTCCCCAATCCAGCGAGCAATCTAGGCTGGTCGGTAACCCCCAGAGCCTCCACCACTTCCCGCCCTAGCAGGGTCACAGGCCCATGCCCAGGGCACTCCCACGGTATTAGTCAGACTGTGCACAGTCATAGCTCCTTGCAGACTATGACGCATTCTCACATCCACCAGTTCTCTCTCTCCTTTTTTTTTTGAGACAGCATCTCACTCTGTTGCCCTGGCTGGAGTGCAGTGGTCTGATCATGGCTCACTGCAGGCTTGACTCCCTAAGCTCAAGTGATCCTCCCATCTCAGCCTCCCTAGTAGCTGGGAGCATACGCATGCACTGCCATACCTGGCTTTTTTCTTTTTTTTTTTTTTTGTATTTTTAGTAGAGACAGGGTCTTGCTACATTGCCCAGGCTGGTTTCCAACTCCTAACCTTGACTGATCTGCCTGTCTTGGCCTCCCAAAGTGCTGAGATTACAGGCGTGAGCCACCGTGCCCGGCTGCCATCAGCTCTCTTAATGCTCCCCAAAAAAGCATAGAACAAAACAAGAGTGCTGGGCCATGGCCATTTTGCTGAACGCACACATGGCAAGTGAATCAATGAATGAATGAGGATGAGGCTCTATAAGTGACTTGTCCAATAACACAGACCCGGGCCTGATTTCCCTGCTGTGCCCACCCCCAGCAGGTGCCCTCAGACCCCGGAGATCCTGAAGGACAGGTCAGGGAGACTAAGCCGTTTGCCCGGGTCCTGTTGGCTGGGTTTGGCTTTCCTGGGAACCACAAGAGGAAGAGCAGAGTGACAGTCCCAAAACAAGTTCTTTGGACAGGATGGTGCAGGGGGCCAGGAGTCCAGCCTCCTTCCTGGGCACTGCTGTCCCTGCTCCAGTCTGGTCTTTTTTTTTTTTTTTTTAAGATGGAGTCTTGCTGTGTTGCCCAGGCTGGAATGCAGTTGCACCCTCTCGGCTTACTGCAACCTCCACCTCTCAAGTTCAAGTGATTCTCCTGCCTCAACCTCCTGAGTAGCTAGGATTACAGGTGCCCGTCACCATGTATTTTTTAGTAGAGATGGGGTTTCCCCATGGTGCCCAGGCTGGTCTCAAACTCCTGACCTCAGGTGATCTGCCTACCTTGGCCTCCCAAAGTGCTGGGATTACAGGTGTGAGCCACCACACCCGGCCCCTGCTCCACTCTTGCCCCCTCCGATCCCATCCCCACCAAGCAGCAGGTGCGATGTCCTTAACCCAGGAATCCATCACGTGGCTGCAGCTTCCACGGCTACCTCGACTCTTATAGCAAAGACCCAGCTCCATCCCAGACTCCTGGCCCTGTGGGGTCACCCAGGTCAGACTCTGGGATGTGATCTTTCCCTGGCTTCCCCCACTGACCACTCAGCCTCCCTGCTCTTTTCAGTTTTTTTTTTTTTCTAGTCTCGCTCTGTCACCCAGGCTGGAGTGCAATGGCACTATATCGGCTCGCTGCAATCTCCACCTCCCAGGTTCAAGCGATTCTCCTGCCTCAGCCTCTCGAGTAGCTCAGGCTACAGGCACCCACCACCACACCCGGCTAATTTTTGTATTTTTAGTAGAGAGGGGGTTTCACCGTACTGGTGAGGATGGTCTCAAACTCCTGGCCTCAGGTGATCTACCTGCCTCGGCCTCCCAAAGTGCTGGGATTACAGGTGTGACCCACCGCGCCGGGCCTCTTCTCACAGTTTCTCTAGTCTCTCAGCCCACAGGTCTCTGCCTGGCATGATGTTCTGGCCCCACATCACTAGGCCGATGCCAGGCCATTCCCTAAGTTCTGCCCTCACACCATTCCTCGGGGCAACGTCCCCACCAGGCCAGGCTCTGAGAGCACCACGGCACACTTGGCAGACTCTTACAAGGAGACACTAATATCCGTGGTCACTGGCCTCGTGGTCTGTCTCCTGTAAGCTGGAGATGGCTGGAGGGCAGGGACCACATCTGGCCACGCTCACCACCAGGTCACCCAGGGGAAGTTCTGTCCAGGGGAACCAGGCTAGCAAAGGCGTGGTGCCAGGTATGGTGGCATGGGCCTGTAGTCCCAGCTTCTTGGGAGGCTGAGGCAGGAGGATTGCTTGAGACCAAGTTTGAGGCTGCCGTGAGCTATGACTGCACCACTGCACCCCATCCTGGGCAACAGAACAAGACCCTGTTTAAAAAAAAAAAAAAAAAAAAAGCAGAGCCCTCACCCTGGCCAGGGCAGAGAGGGACACAGCTCAGTGGGCAGGCACTTGTCACTTGTCACTTCAGACAAGTTATTAAACTTTCCTGAGGCTGGGCGCGGTGGCTCACTCTTGTAATCCCACCACTTTGGGAGGCCGAGATGGGCAGGTCAAGAGATCAAGACCATCCTGGCCAACATGGTGAAACCCCACCTCTACTAAAAATATAAACAATTAGCTGGGCATGGTGGCACGTGCCTGTAGTCCTAGCTACTCGCGAGGCTGAGGCAGGAGGATTGCTTGAACCTGGGAGGCAGAGGTTGCAGTGAGCTGAGATCGCGCCACTGCGCTCCAGCCTGGCGACAGAGCGAGACTAGAAAACAAAACAAAACAAAACAAAACAACCTCCCTGAGCCTCAGTTTCCCCATCCATAAAGTAAGGATGATAAAACCACATCACAGCACTGGCTTGAGGATTCAACAGGGCCATGGGTGTAAACATCTCCTCTCATTCCCCTGCCCACAACCCCAAAGGCTCTTTCCAGAAACCTCCAGGAGAAACCTTTGCCAGGTTCTCAGAGCAGGGAGGGAGGACCCTAGGCAGTAATACTCTTTGGGGGTCCCTGCTCTGGGTCCCCAGACCCCCTGCCCTTCTCCACTCGACTTTGGAGCTCCAAGCCTGTGCTCCCCACCTTGGGTTGGAATGACTTCCTACCTTCCCCCAGGAAGCCTTGCAGAACGGACACAGGGACCCCTGCCCCACCGACAGCTCCTCATACCCCAGGCCCAGAAGGCCCCATCAGGGACTTCCTTGTACCCTGTGAGTCTCTTCCCAATGCTGTGGTCCCAGGCGTAGGGTTAGCCCAAGGCCACCACAGCCTGGTTGGACAGGAAAACACAGCCCTGTCCCGTCCACCTGACCACCACCAACCCAGGTCACTGCTGTATTCATACTCCAGAAGACTTGGGGGTCACTGACCCCTTTCCAACCTGGCCCTAACAGCTGGGACTAGTGGAGAAGAGGCACCCCTGGCAGGAAGCTGTCAGCTCCAGCGACCCAATTCTCTCAACTTCAACAACACTGATCACTCGGGTTGTAGCTGATAAGGTGTCTGCACCTCCTGGCCCTGGGCAAGGGGTTATTACCATTATTATTATTATTGTGTTTTTGAGACAGAGTCTCATTCTATCACCCAGGCTGGAGTGCAGTGGTGTGATCTCAGCTCACTGCAATCTCTCCCTCCTGGGTTCGAGTGATTCTCCCGCCTCAGCTTCCCAAGTAGCTGGGATTACAGGCATGGGCCACTATGCCCAGCTAATTTTTGCGTGTGCACTATAGGCACACGCCATCACAGCTGGCTAATGTTTGTATTTTTAGTAGAGATGGTGTTTCGCCATGTTGGCTAGGCTGGTCTCAAAATCCTGACCTCAGGTGATCTGCCCGCCTTGGCCTCCCAAAGTGCTGGGATTACAGGTGTGAGACACCATGCCTGGCCTTATTATTATTATTATTATTATTATTATTATTATTGAAACAGAGTCTGGCTCTGTCACCCAGGCTAGAGTGTGTGGCACCACCTTGGCTCACTGCAACCTCTAACTCCCAGGATGAAGCCATCCTCCCACCACAGCCTCCTGAGTAGCTGGGAGTACAGGGCCATGCACCATGCCCGGCTAATTTTTTTTGTATTTTTTTGTAAAGACAGGGTCTCACTATGTTGCCTAGGCTGGTCTTGAACTACTGGGCTCAAGTGATCCTCCCACCTCAGCCTCCCAAAGTGCTAGGATTACAAGCATGAATCACTGTGCCTGGCCAGGACCAGGGGTCTTGAGAACATCTAGTTCCCAGCCTTTTCCAGTACATGCCTGGCACGTGCATGTGGATGAGTTGGATCAGTAGATAATATCAATAATGGCCAAAATGTATGTGGTACGTAGTATTAGGCACTGTCTAAAATGAGTGATACATTTTAATGCATCTCCAACTACGACTGAAATATGATTAAAATTCCCATTTTGGTGGGGCACGGTGGCTCACACCTGTAATCCCAGCACTTTGGGAGGCCAAGGCGGGTGGATCACCCGAGGTCGGGAGTTCGAGACCAGCATGGTCAACATGGTGAAACCCTGTCTCTACTAAAATACAAAAATTAGCTGGGCATGGTGGCCCATGCCTGTAATCCCAGCTACTTGAGAGGCTGAGGCAGGAGAATCACTTGAACCCGGGAGGTGGAGGTTGCAGCCGGCTGAAATCATGCCACTGCACTCCAGCCTGGATGACAAGAGCAAAACTCCATCTCAAAAAAAAAAAAAAAAAAAAAAAAAAATCCCATTTTACCGATAGAAAGAGTGAGGCCCAGAGAGTTTAAGACACTTGCCCAGGGTCACACAGCAACAGTCTCCTGTCTTGTCACTCTGTATGGTCCTGATGAGGAATGGGTATCCCAGGCTGGACCCTGTCCGAGACCCCTTTGAGTCCCTACACTGCCCAGCCCGGGGGGGCCAGCTCGGCCAAGTGAGGCGGAGCAGGGGAGGGAAGGGAGGCTGGGCCCAGAGCCCAGTACTGCTGGCACTCACCAGCACACGGTCTCCCAGGCGCAGATCCTTGTCGCCCCGCTTCACAGAGCCGCTGTCGGAAAGGTTGGAGCCCGACTCGTTGCCCGTCTTCACGGAGCTGTTGAGGACGCTTTCCCGCAGGGGGATGACGCGGCTGGTCAGCGGGGGTGTGGCCGTGCCCGAATGCAATGACAGGTTCTGGGCAGTCAGTGACTCCACGGAGTGGGCATCACTCCCCGAGCCCTCGGCCGTGGGCTGCCGGGTCAGCTTGGAGGGCCGCGTGAAGATACCCTGGAGGGCCGGGCACTCGAAGTAGCGCACGCCGCCCACCGCGCCATCGTTCTTGCCCACCGGGTCGTCCAGCACCACGCCGGCCCACTGGCCCGGTGCGAACTGCGTCTCCCCCAGGTACTGCACCACGCCTGGCTTCACGCCATTCACCCACACCCGCTCGCCCACCACAAAGTCCCCCAGGAAGTCATCCCCCACTTCCGCCGCCTTGGGGCCCGGCTTCTCGGGGGCAGCAGCTGCGGCCGGGGAGGAGGAGGGTCCGGATGACTGCTTGTGCAGCGGGGAGCCTGCAGAGAAGGAGAGGCAGAGGGAAAGAGGTGGCTGTTAGGGCTGGCGTGGAACTGGCCCCTGGGTGGCCCCAGGTGCACAGAGTCTAGGGTTGGGAGGTGGCTGATTTGTATTTTTGGGTAGAGAAGGAGTTTCACCATGTCGGCCAGGCTGGTCTCAAACTCCTGACCTCAAGTAATCCGCCTGCCTTGGCTTCCCAAAGTGCTGGGATTATAGGCATGAGGCACCACACCTAACCCTTATTTATTTGTTTTTTGAGACAGGGTCTTGCTCTGTCACCTAGACTAGAGTGCATCGGCGAGATCATGGCTCACTGCAGCCTTGACTTCCTGGGCTCCAGCGATGCTCCCACCTCAGCCTCCTGAGTAGCTGAAATCACAGACACCTGCCACTACACTGGGCTAATTTTTGTATTTTTTGTAGAGATGAGGTCTTGCCATGGAAACCAAGGCAGGAATGGTTGGCTGTGTGGTCTTGGGCCGGTCCTCCTCAGGTCTCCCCCTACTCCTCCAGCCCTCCAGAGCGTCCCCAGGAAAGTATGCCCTCAGAAGCAACGTTTCCAGGCTGGGCGCAGTGCCTCACGCCTGAAATCCCAGCACTTCAGGAGGCCGAGGCAGGCAGATCACCTGAGATCAGGAGTTCCAGACTAGCCTGACCAATATGGTGAAACCCTGTCTCTACTAAAAATAAAATAATTAGCCGGGTGTGGCCGGGCGCAGTAGCTCAAGCCTGTAATCCCAGCACTTTGGGAGGCTGAGGCGGGCAGATCACGAGGTCAGGAGATCGAGACCATCCTGGCTAACACGGTGAAACCCCGTCTCCACTAAAAAAAATACAAAAAAACTAGCCAAGCGAGGTGGCAGGCGCCTGTAGTCCCAGCTACTCGGGAGGCTGAGGCAGGAGAATGGCATAAACCCGGGAGTTGGAGCTTGCAGTGAGCCGCAATCTGGCCACTGCACTCCAGCCTGGGCGACAGAGCTAGACTCCGTCTCAAAAAAAAAAAAAATTAGCCGCGTGTGGTGGCGGGCACCTGTAATCCCAGCTACTCAGGAGGCTGAGGTGGGAGGATCACTTGAACCTAGGAGGTGGAGGTTGCAGTGAGCTGAAATCATACCACTTTACTCCAGCCTGGGGGAAAGAGAAAGACTTCATCTCAAAAACAAAAACAAAAACAAAAAAACAAAAGCAAAACAAACACAGAAGCAATGGCTTTCCACTTCTCAAGGGAACTGTAAGTCCCGGGCCAGGGATGAACCCATTCTCAAAGATTATAAGCCACCTCCCCAGCTGGGCACGGTGGCTCAAGCCTGTAATCCCAGCACTTTGGGAGGCCGAGACGGGTGGATCACGAGGTCAGGAGATCGAGACCATCCTGGCTAACACAGTGAAACCCCGTCTCTACTAAAAAAATACAAAAAAACTAGCCAGGCAAGGTGGCGGGCGCCTGTAGTCCCAGCTACTCGGGAGGCTGAGGCAGGAGAATGGCCTGAACCCGGGAGGCGGAGCTTGCAGTGAGCTGAGATCCGGCCACTGCACTCCAGCCAGGGGGACAGAGTGAGACTCCATCTCAAAAAAAAAAATAAAAATAAAAAAATAAGCCACCTCCCCACCGGGTGGGCTCAGGCCCTCAGCTGTTGACCTGAGACCCCCTGTGGCCCCATGTGTGACCCAGGTGTTGTGCAAGTGGTCCCCGAGACCCCCATCCTCGCCCTCAGACAGTTACAAGGCACACAAAAGGCTCCCAGCCTATTTTCTAATAGAGGGACACAGCCACAGACTTCTTGCATAAAGATGTCCCCTTCTGTCTCTCTTGGGACAGAAAAGAAAACCCTCCTGACTCTCTCCTGGGCGCCCCCCTCTCTCCCCTCCCCAAGCTGCAGCCCAGCCTAAGGCCTCAGGGTCCACAGACCCAGGAAGGTGGAAAGGTGGCTAGGTTTGGTGGCTCATGCCTGTAATCCCAGCATTTTGGGAGGCTGAGGCAGGTGTATCACCTGAAGTCAGGAGCTCAAGACCAGCCTGGCCAACATGGTGAAACTCCATCTCTACTGAAAATACAAAAAAATTAGCAGAACGTAGTGGTGGGTGCCTATAATCCCAGCTACTCAGGAGGCTAAGACAGGAGAATCGCCTGAACCCGGGAGGCAGAGGTTGCAGTGAACTGAGACAGCACCACTGACTCCAGCCTGGGTGACAAAGTGAGACTCCATCTCAAAAACACAAACAAACAAAACAAAACAAAACAAACAAAAAACAACCATAGTAATCACAGGCTTGCATGAGGCTCCGTGCTAAGAGCTTAAGATACGATAGCTCATCTGATCCCCAACTGCCCCCATTTCACAGATGAGAAAACTGAGGCTCAGAGATACAAGGTGCTTCACCTGAGCTCCCAGACAATAGGCAGCAGAGCTGATTTGGTTTGGCTGTGTCCCCACCCAAATCTCATCTTGAATTGAAGCTCCCATAATTCCCACATGTTTTGGGAGGTACACAGTGGGAGCTGAATGAATCATGGGGGTGGTTTTCCCATACTGTTGTCGTGGTAGTGAATAAGTCTCACAAGATCTGGTGATTTTATAAGACGGTCTCCCCTTCCACTTGGCTCTCATTCTCTCTTGTCTGCTGCCATGTAAGACGTGCCTTTTGCCTTCTGCCACTATTGTGAGGCCTCCCCGGCCACATGGAACTGTGAGTCCATTAAACTTCTTTTTCTTTATAAATTACCCAGTCTCGTGCCAAGCACAGTGGCTCATGCCTATAATCCCAGCACTTTGGGGGGCAGATCACTTGAGGTCAGGAGTTTGAGACCAGCCTGGCCAACATGGGGAAACCCCGTCTCTACTGAAAATACAAAAATTAGGCTGGGTGCGGTGGCTCAAGCCTGTAATCCCAGCACTTTGGGAGGCCAAGACGGGCGGATCACGAGGTCAGGAGATCAAGACCGTCCTGGCTAACACAGTGAAACCCCGTCTCTACTAAAAAATACAAAAAACTAGCTGGGCGAGGTGGCGGGCACCTGTAGTCCCAGCTACTCGGGAGGCTGAGGCAGGAGAATGGCGTAAATCCGGGAGGCGGAGCTTGCAGTGAGCCGAGATCCGGCCACTGCACTCCAGCCTGGGCGACAGAGCGAGACTCCACCTCAAAAAAAAAAAATAGCCAAGAGTGGTGGCATATGCCTGTAGTCCCAGCTACTTGGGAGGCTGAGGCACGAGAATAGCTTGAACCCAGGAGGCAGAAGTTACAGTGAGCAGAGATGGCACCACTGCACTCCAGCCTGGGTGATAGAGCAAGACCCTATCTCAAGAAATGAAAAGAAAAGAAAAGAAAAGAGAAAGAAAATAAAATAATCCAGGCACAGTGGCTTACAACTGTAATCCCAGCACTTTGGGAGGTCGAGGCAGGCAGATCACTTGAGTCCAGGAGTTCAAGACCAACCTCGGCAACACAGCAAGATTCCCATCTCTTAAAAATAAATAAATAAATAAAATAAACTGGGTGCAGTGGTACAGCCTCTAATCCCAGCTACTTGGGAAGCTGAGACAGGAGGATGACTTGACCCCAGGAGGTCAAGACCAGTGTGGGCAACATAGCAAGACCCTGTCTCTATAAAAAACAAATATAATATATAACAAAATAAAATAATTAAAATAGCATCTACATTTATGAAGTGCCAACTGCATGTTCCTCAATGGACAGAGCACTTTTTTTTTTTTTTGAGTCGGAGTCTCACTCTGTTGCCCAGGCTGGAGTACACTGGTGCAATCTCAGCTCACTCCAACCTCCGCTCCCTGAGTTCAAGTGATTCTCCTGCCTCAGCTTCTTAAGTAGCTGGGATTACAGGCATGCACCACCATGCCGGGCTATTCATTATAAGAACACATCATATTTTTACCTTGCAGATTTGGAAACAGGGTAAGGTCATCCAGGCCGAGTAGGACACCCAGCTGGTCTGGCTTCAGAACCCTCCCTCTTTTGTTTTTTTGAGACAGAGTCTCACTCTGTTGCCCAGGCTGGAGTCCCCAGGTTGGAGTGCAATGGCGCAATCTCTGCTCACCACAACCTTCGCCTCCCAGGTTCAAGAAATTCTCATGCCTCAGCCTCCTGTGTAGCCAGGATTATAGGTGTGCGCCAGCACGCCAGGCTATTTTTTTTTTTTTTAATTGGAGATGGGGTTTTGCCATGTTGGCCAGGCTGGTCTCAAACTCCTGGCCTCAAGTGATCCTCCTGCCTTGGCCTCCCACAGTGCTGGGATTATAGGCGTGAGCTACCATGCCGAGCCAGAACCATTCGTCTTGACCACATGCACAGTGGGTGCCTGGCAGGCGCCAGCTCCTACCCCATATCCATTTCTAGGGCACTTTCCTATGCAGACAGAGAGCTCTGTGACCTCTGCTAACTGAACAGAACCGCTGTAGCCCAGCTAAGATCTGTTTCTACCCGCCCTCCGTGCTTAGAGCCCAGAGAAGGGTCCCTAGGTCGAAGGTGACCCAGCATGGCTATTCTTGGTGAGAAGCTGCCTGCTCAGCTGTCCTTGTTCCCAGCTGTCCCGGCCCAGGCGGACCCTCAGGTAATCTCTCCCCAACTACCTCCCCTCCCAGGGGTCACAGGCCCAGGGTCCAGCTGTTTCAACAGCTGCAAAAATCCAAGCCACGAGCCCATGGCAACTGCACGTGGTACTTCGCTTCATTCTTCCTCTCAGTAGTGGGACCCTCAGCTGCCCCCGCATCACAGGGACAAAACCCTCATCAAATTCCATGCATGCTGAGACATTTTCAGTTTCCTGCAGTTGGGAAACCATGGGAAATTCCCTGTCTCTCCAGGGAGTCATCAGGGACACACTGGCTTGGCCGGGGCAAGCCAAGTCTGTGCCTTCCCAGATGGGTGCCTCAGTTTCCGCATGACATAACAAAGGACCAGGTCAGAAATAGCTAAGGTCCTTCCCAGCACTGACATTCACCATGTCCTAAGACTCCTCCCAGGGGAGCCGACGTATGTACAA